TGAGCCTGACTGATGGTAAAAAGCCAGCCAAGCAGAGTTCTGGAGGAGGCGCTTCCCAGATTATGAGAACAGCAAGTGCAAAGGCCCTGAGGCAGCCATGAACTTGGCTTCTTGTCAGGACAGATGCTGCTGCATGGAGCAGGGATGAGTAGAAGGTGAGGTGCGAGAGGATGGCAGGAAGGAACCGGGTAATATACAGTCTTGCGATCATGGGAAGAAATGGGGATTTTATTCTAAGAGTGCTGGAGAGCCATTGGAGAGTGTTAAGCCTGGGAGAGAACACGATCAGATTGATGACTTCAAAGAGTCTCTCTGGCGGCTATGTGGCACGTGAATGCAGAGGCTGGAATGAAGGATGAGAGACCTGTGAGGGGGCTGGAGGGTGACGGTCATTGCGGTGGCAGTGGAGATGGAGAAGAGTGATCACACCTAGGATTTGTTTTGGAGGTTCAGCTGTCAGCATTTGATGATGGACAGGATGTCAGGACAAAGGATGATGCCCAGGGCCGGGCATTGTGGCTCACACCTATAATCCCAGCACTTTGGGAGGCTGAGGTGAGAGGATTACTTGAGCCTAGGAGTTAGAGACATGCCTGGGCAACATAGCAAGACCTCACCTCTACAAAAAAATTTAAAAATTGGCTGGGCATGCAGTCCCAGCTGCTTGGGATGCCGAGGCAGAAGAATCGCCTGAGCCCAGGAAGTTGAGGCTGCAGTGAGTCATAATTGCACCACTGCGTTCCAGCCTGGGAAACATAGTGGGATCCTGACTCAAAAAAAGAAAGAAAGAAAGCAATGCTCAGGCTTGTGGTCTGAGCCCCAAGGTAGATGGGGTTGGTCACCAGTAAGATGACAGTAGAGCCCAGGCCAGAGAATGCCAATATCCTGGGTAGTCAGGGGAACCATACCCTGATTCCACCACCCTGTAGGAGAGGAGATTCTCTCCTACAGCCTCCAGAGGGAACACACCTTATACCACCTGCCTTAAATGGAACCTCAGCTCCGAGACCAGCAGGCTTGCCACCAAGGTCCTTGAAATGACCCCTACACGAGGCAGAGGTTCAGAGCCCCGTGCCTAAGATTACCATGGAACTATTAACCATTAGCTGCTAACTATAATTGCCACCAATTAGTCATCATTGTCAAGACTTGGCTTCCACAACCCGATTATCACCTGGGCACAACAGTCTTTGTTCCTACAAGGCAGCAAGGAGCTCTTTTGTCCATGTAGCTTTAATTGACCTAGTAATGCCAAGACACAACATGCAATGTCTGTTCCCTGGCACGTAGGTAGTTCCTTATCCAGGGAAGCCACAGGGCAGCTGATGCCGGCAGCCCTGGAAGACTGTGGCTCACTCCGAAGGCCTTGGGCCAAAGAAGGTACTGACTTCTTTTGCTGAACCTGAAACCTCAAACTTCGAGACTTCAGGGGCTGTGTCATGTGAAGCAGTCCCTCACATGGAAACCAGAGGCCAGGGAAAAGAGGGTCCCACGTACCAGGACTCAGGAAACTCAATTTTGGCAAGCTCTTCAGATAATGATGATGGAGTTTCAGACAGCTCATGTCTTCACAGGGCCTGTGCACCCACGGAAGGCAGGTGCAGAGTAGCCCAGTGCCAGGTCCTTGTGTGTTTCCCTCTTGGTCAAAAAGATCCAATTTGGAAGCCTGTCAGTACTTGAAATACCAGGGTTGCCAAAAAAAGGTATACACATTTTAAGTGATGTTATCTATGTGTTGCTTTTCAAAGTACTTTTCAGAAGTGTCTGGATGCTGATAATAACCACTTTGAGCACCTCTTGTAATTGCAGAAGTCAAACGTGATTTGTATTCATCTTTTGTTATCGGTATATATTTTTCCTTTCTTAAAATGTGTATACATTTTTTGGCACCCTCTGTTTAAGGAATTTGACATAAAGAGTAGAAGAGTTTATTCATTCACCGAATAAACATTTTTTGAGCTCTTACTATGTGCCACACCCAGGTAGATGCTAGGGTTGGATAAACAGATGAGTAAGCACAATCAGATGGGGCAGATGCCGACAGAGAGGGCTGTGTAGGTCACCACCGACTCCCAAAGGAAGGAGTGATGCAGAGGTTCAAAGAGGGGGTGATAGTGAAGCCACATCTTGGGGGGAAGACAAAAGGTCAAGGCTTAAGTGACTGAATAATGTCCCCCTAAAGATATCACGTCCTAATCCCTGGAACCTTTGAATATGTTACCCTACATGGCAGAAGGGATTTTGCAGGTGTGATTATGTGAAGCATCTTGAGATGGGGAGATTATTAGGCCCATGTAATCACAGGGTCTTTAGAAGAGGGAGACAGCAGGCAGTAAGAGCAGATATGACCACTGGAGCAAGGGCTGGAGTGATTGGAGGGCAGGGCTACAAGCCAAGGAACACAGGTGGCCTTTAGAAACTGGAAAAGGCAAGAAAACAGGTTTCTCTGCAAGGGCCTCCAGAAGGAACACAACTCTGATTTTAGGATATCTGGCCTCCAGAACTGGAAGATAATACATTTGTAGTAGCTTAAGCCACCAATTCTGGTCATCAGTTATAGCAGCAATAGGGAACTAATACAGCTTACTTTGCATGAAACACAGTTGTAAGTGATTTATACTTCTTATCTCAGGAAACACAGGATCAGAGGGGTAAAGTGACCAAAGCCCCTTGGATAGAAAACAGCAGAGGGGGTTACTAAAACCGAGACTGTTCGAATTGGACACTGGAAGGCTGAGACCTCCTCCGTGGGCAGATGGGGAGGGCATCCCCCATCCGGCGTGCTTGGGGCTGAGGGCGAGAGGTGATCCCCACATGCTGGGCCACCAGGCACGTCCTGGTTCTGCGGGCAGAGCTATGGGTGGAGGGACCAGTGAGGGTTTGCTCGGCATAAGCTCTGAAGAGGTGCAGGGGCCTGAGCCAGGCAGGAGCCATAGAGACCAGAGAAGGCAAAACGAATACAACAGAGATGTTGTCTCCAGACTCGGAGACATTGCAGGTGAGGATCGTGGGGCCTCCGTCCTGGCTTGGGTGGCTGGGTGCTGTCATGTTCTGAGGTTACCCAAGAGAAGACCCAGAAGTGTCTCTTGCCACAGGGACACTTTCTCTGGCAGATGGGGTGGGGATTGACAGCTCAGGCTGGTGATGGAATCAGAGTCCTGGTTGAAAAGGGTCACTCTGTGTAGGATCCATCCATTGCAGTACTGTCTGGAGACAGAGATCCTTTCCATACGGTTGGTTCATTTTATCCCATTCAGGTCCCACGCTCTCTACTAACCAGATATAAACATATTCTTACAAACTGCTGGGCTGTATAATTCAAGTGGGGACAGATGCTTTGGGGTAAATTTTGACAGATTAATTTTTCTGATTATAAAGTTAACCTAGGTTTATTATGGATAATTTTTTTTTTTGAGTCAGATTCTCACTCTGTCCCCAGGATGGAAGCAGTGACATGATCACGACTCACCACAGCCTAAACCTCCTGGACTAAGGCGATCCTCCTACCTCAGCCTCCTGAGTAGCTGGGACTAAGGCACGCACCACCACACTCAGCTAATTTTTTTATTTTTCTGTAGAGATGAGGTTTTACTACATTACCCAGGCTGTTCTTCAACTCTTGGGCTCAAGCAATCCTTCCGCCTTGGCCTCCCAAAGTGCTGGGATTACAGTTATAAACCACTGTGCCTGACCTCATAATTTTTAAAAAGAAAAAAAATGCAACGTGTTTCCTTCACTTTTTTTTTCCTATGCAGTGTTTTGTTTCTTAGTTGGGACCCTGTGACATATTATCAAGTCAATCTTCGATCCATTTAAAAAAACATATTTCATTTCAAAAGCATTTATGTTCTTTTTCCCCTATTTACAATATCCAAACAGAACAGTCTCTTTTTTTATTCTATTTACTTTTTAAATTGAGATGGGGTCATGCTATGTTGCCCAGGCTGGTCTCAAACTCCGGGACTCAAGCAATCCTCCCACCTCAGCCTCCAAAGTAACTGTGATTACAGGCAATGCACTACTACATTCCAGCTAAGCATTTATTTTCAAGAGTTATTACAGATTTTTCCTGGGAATCATTTTTTATGGCCCTATAGTTTTTGACTGGTTGGATGTGTGTAGTTAACTATTTCCCTGATGTTGGAAATCTCCATATTGTTTCCAATTTTAGGTTATAAATACATCAGTAGTGCCTTTCTTTACTAAATATTTTCTACATTTAGGTTTGTTTTCTTAAGATTAGAATTTCAGAAATTGAATTTTTGGACAAAGGGGATGTGACCTTTTTTTTTTTTTTTGAGTTGGAATCTCTGTCACCCAGGCTGGAGTGCTGTGGCATACACACGGCACCACAGCCTTGACCTGCTGGGCTCAGGTGATCCTTCCACCTCAGACTTCCAAGTAGCTGAAACTACAGGTATGCGCCACCATGCCCAGCTAATTTCTGTATTTATTGTAGAGACAAGGTCTCATCAAGTTGCCTAGGCTAGTCTTGAACCCCTGGACTCAGGCAATGGAACCTCTCGCCTCAGAAAGTTCTGGGATTATAGGGTTGAGCTACTGCATCCAGCTGGATGTGCCTTTTTTTTTTTTTTTCTTTTAAAGCAAGATTTATTAAGAGGACAGAAAAACTCCCACAGTGGGAGGGGACCTGAGAGGGTTGCCCCGATGTGCCTTTTTAAAAAGTTGTTGATACATACTGTTAAATTGCCCTAGAAAGTATATCCCAGTGCACTCTCCCACCAGGGATGTCTTTGAGCACCCATTCTTATTATCACCTTAACAACTTTGGGATTTAAAAACTGATCTTTGCTGATTTGACTGGTGAGAAACGCCACCTTGCGCTTGATGCACATTTTTAATAGTTGTGTAGTATTCTGTTCTGGAAGCCATGCTGTTGCCCCCTTGACTGATTCTCATGAAGTTGTGCATTTAAGATGTTTCCAGTACTGGGGCTTTGTCACAGCTTATCTCTGCATGTGTTTTTTCTCTCTCTCGAGGGCGCTATGATGCCCGGGCCAGAGTCCTCGTTTGCCGTATGAACTCTCTGCTCCAGGTACCCTTGGAGGAGCTGGACTTCCTTGAAGAGACATTCCTTGAGAGCCTGAAGGAAACCAAAGAGGAGGAATCTGAGTAAGAGAGCCCTGTGACCTCTGTCAGGAACTGAGGATTCCCTCTTAAGTGAACTTTGCAAATAATAGAATCTCCTCTCCTCAATAAGAAATGGTGTAGTGAGGTGGAAGGAGCATTGGACAAAGAGTCCCAGCAGTAGCCCTGCCTTACTCTGTGGGCTTAGCAAGTCACTTGCCCTCTCTGGGCCTCAGACCTCATTTGCAAGAAGAGAAGATTGAATGAATGATTGCCAAGGGTCTTGAATCTGTAACTTTGACATCCTGTGGCCCTGACACCCAGCTGTACCTCAGGGTCTTGTGACACCTGGTCCATGGGCCCCAGTGACCTGGATTTAAATCCCATTTCTGATACCCATCCACTGTTTGACCTTGGGCAGGCAGCCTCCCTTTTCTAAGTTGCAGTATTCTTATCTGTAAAATGCGAATAAGGATAGCTCCTTCACAAGGTCATTGGGAAGAATGAATGTGATCATATTGTGAAATGCTTGGCCTTGCCTGGCACTCAGCAAGTGTAAGTAGATGTGAGTCCTCCTCTTCCCTCATGTGCCTCGGACCCACCTGTTGTAGAAAAGCTTTGCTATCTCTATATGGCCAAGAGTGTGGAGGGAATAATACTGGTGACTTGGCCAGAGATCAACTCTCTGCAGAATGCCTCACACAGAATCTAATCCCAGAGCAATAAATCAGTTCCAGTCACAGCCTAATGATAGGCTGCTGGCATCAGGCACGTCTCCCCAGTTCCAGATTTTGTTCTGCCACGATGGTAATGCTTTGAACAACCAGGTTGCAGGTCAACCCAGCTGGGAATTGAATCCTGAAGCCAAGTTTAGACCGCCCTCTTGCCAGTGTTTGTGGGGCAAAGGGGAGGAGCATTTTGTTAAGAGAGAAGGAAGCTTGGTTAGTTGAAATAACCCCAAAACATACTAGCTTTGACTCACAGAAATGTGTCAGTATGGAAATACCTGGATCTAGGCCAATTATCATAATGTCAAGGACTGCCCAGGTTTTTTAAATATACTGAAAATCTATAGGGTCTTCAATGCCTTGAAATTAAGGAATGTCTCAGTTATTTATTTTTTTTTTGAAATCTTATTATTAGAAAGAAACATACTACCTGGAGTGATTTGTTCTGATAATATCAGTAATACCAGACCAGGGAAAATAGAAACCAGAACTTCTAACACAGGCCAGTTCTGCCACTTACCAGCCTTGTGTGTTCTTTTACTTCTCTGGGCCTCGGCTTCCTCACCTGCAAAATAGGGATAATAGTAGCACCCTCCTCACAGGATTTTTGTGGGGCCCAAATAAGTTCAGACATTTAAAGTGTTTCAGTTGGGACTGGCACTGAGTAACTAGTCCCTAAATATTATGACTGTTGTTAACCATAGTATTGTGATTGTATTATGACTATATAGACCCTTTCTCCAGAAAGATGGTTCAATAGGTGTTTATTCAATAGGGACTCTGGAGACCTCTCAGAGTCTGTGGCCTCTGGAAAGATCTGAGACACGGGAAACCCTCACCACTGTTCAACTGGGAGACCTGGTTCTCAATCTGATTCTGCTGCTAACTCTCTGTGTGGCCTTGGGCATGTTGCTTTCTCACCCTGGGCACCAGTGCCATTTTCTTAACCTATACAATTAGAGGGTTGAATTATAGTCAATTTCTTTTAACACTAAGGTTTTGTGTTTCTGGGGGTGAACTTATCGCTTCTACTCCAAGGTGACTCTTTGCAGCAGGGTCTAGAGTGTGATGTTCCACTGCTCTGTCCTTGGAGCCCTAAGGCCGTCCAAGCTTCTCTCACTTGTTTAGTGACTTCACCTCTCTGTGTCTGTTTCTTCATTTTTCACATGTGGGTAATGGTAGTATCTGTATTATAGGGTTGTTAAGAGAATTAAACTTATTAACACATATTGAAATCTTGGAACAGTGCTTGGCATGAGGTAGGGCATCAGGAAACATTATTAATGCACTGCTGGGATTGATACTGTTTACATCATAATAACACTGTCTACATCTCACTTGTATTGAATGCTTACTAGATGCAGGCACAAGATGCCATCTCATTTAATCCTTAAAACAATCCCCTAAGGTTTCACAGATGATAAAGAAACAAAGGCAAGCCGAGAGCTATGGCTCAAGCCTGTAATCCCAACACTTTCGGAGGCTGAGGCGGGAGGATTGCCTGAGTCCAGGGGTTCGAGACCAGCCTGGGCAACTTGGTGAGACCTCGTTTCTACAGTAAATCAAAAAAATTAGCCAGGCATGGAGGTGCGGTGCCTGTAATTCCAGCTACTTAGAAGGCTGGGGCAGAAGGATCACCTGAGCCCAGCAGGTTGAGGCTGCGGTGGCTGTGAGTGTGCCACTGCACTCCAGCCAGAGCGACAGAGTGAGACTCCAACTCAAAAAAAAAAAAGAAAGTAAGAGGGGTGACTCATCCAAGGTCGTGTGACTAGTCAGCAACATCATCTGTTTCGACCCTTTCCAGTCTGAATGTCACTTACTGTATCCCTCAAGCCCTGATTGACAATTCCAGGGTCCCTCCTTAATCTGGAAGAAAGCAGGAAAGACCATTCCCTCATGGGGATTCCCAAACTTTTACTAGGAAAGTGTAACCCTCTCAGAGATAAGCTCCCCCTGCCGGTCAACATGAGAAGGTGATTTAACAAAAAAGAAGTTGGTGGTGTGGATGATCAGAATAGGAAACACCCTCTCGTGGGAGATAAGATGGCAGCAAGTGACACTTATTTGTGGGTTCATGATAGGCGTAGTGCAGGTGTCTTGCTCTTCAGAAGGTATCTCTGGCTTCGACCTGGGATTTGGCCCATATCTACGATGTGATTTTAGCCTCTGTCTCTGGAAAACTGACATGGAACGCCAGTTCGAGTTCATTTCTGGCATTTCAGAACGTGAGCATGGCCATGATTTTGTGATGGTGTGGGATGCCATCATGTCTAATCAGCAGACAAAGCCAGTGAGGGGGACAAGGCTGTCATTTGGATTTAGCATGTTCTCTGAGTTGTCATTTCCCAGGAAAAGGAAGAAAGGATTGCAGATGTGACTCAGAGCAGTCATCTCTTCTCCTGCCTTCTGTGTTGAAATTCAATCAGATAACTGAAGCAATTGCAAGAGTGGAACACTGCGATAATTAACAATGACTGGAAAAGTGATTCATTTTATGTGCAAAACAATTATTAAGAACATGCAGATGCTTAAATAGGAAGATTGGCCGTTTAAATGAACACTAGGTGGGAATGCCTTAGCTAAGTAACTTTAGGAAAAAGATCTTCTTTTGGAATCAACAAATGTTTTAAATATTTAAATAATAATGTGAAACAGAATATGAGAGATTAGAGCATATTATCCAGCTAATCTTTGCAAAAATTGATTTTATATGCTAGCAGCCTTCTAGGACTATATTTACTTTTTAGTTATTTTATTCCATGTAGGCCTGAATCTTCCCTTCCATCAAACTCACCTAAAGGTGGCAATCATCTAGTATCATAGATGTGTAGGTATTTCTGCAGAAATAGCCTAAATGCAGATGATACCAAGAAATGTCAGTGGTACTAACTCAAAATTTGACTATATTCTTAATAGTAAGTCTGTAATAATTATGAAAATTGTCTAACATTTCAGATTTGTTCTAAAAGTTTCCGTTTGGATGGTAATTGGCCTATACACTGGCTACATATTTGTATTTTGCGAAAATGTCCATCCTGTGCCCCCTGGTTTTCATAGATGTGGACAGTGAGTGGTGGAGTGTGATCACCTTCAATCCTTGTTGGGAAAGTTAGGCTCTGCTCAAGTAACATTTTCTGAGTACCCTGGTTCCAAGCCCAGGGCAGGCTACTGAGAGTAGAGAGCTGGAAATGGCTTGATCTGTGCCCTGAAGGTTTATTTAGCCCAGCAATTTGCAAACATGAGATAGAGCAGAATCCCTGGAGAACTTGTTATAGATTCTTCACCCTCACACCCAAAGATTCTGACTCTAGAGGCTGAGTTTTTAACAGGTACTCCTGGTGATTCTCATGCCCACCCAGTGTTTGGACATCTCTGGTCCAGAATTCCAGGAGAATATGGTACAGAGGGCTAGAAGGTCCTAGAGTCAGGGCATTTGGCAACGTTGAGGCTCGGGTATTCTTCCTGGAGGAGGTGTCACGTCAGCTGACTCTTGAAGGATGAGTAACGTTGAACTAACACATGAAGGAGAGAAGGTCTTGAGGGCTGAAGACTAGAAGACAGGTGCTGTGGCATAAAGCAGTGTACCTGTAGGCAACTCAGCGTGTCCCCGAGGACCAGGTGTAAGTAAGTTAGGAAGTGATGCAAGATGAAGCTGGAGGAGGCAGAGGTCAGGACACAGAGGACCTAAGTGTCATGCTGAGGAGAGGTGACAGTGTCCTGAAGCTAACAGAGCACACAAGGAGGTAGGAAGAGAGGGAAGGAAGCAGGCAGTCACGGTTATGCTTTCCAGCTTGGCACTGGCCACTGTGGTGGTGCTGTCTCGCCATCTTTCCACTGGCTGACGTAACAGTTACATTTCCTAAGTGAGAAAATTGAGACTCAGGAAAGTTAGGTGACCCAGAAAGATCATGAGAGCTGGGCTCAAGTACCTCTTCTAATTTCCAGATTATTTCTCAGTTCGTGTTTGTCGAATCAAGATGCCACTGACTCATAGAGCCGCATCTCTTGTTCCTATTGTAAATTGACAGCAGCTTGAATTTTTTCTCAGGCCTTGAACTCTGTCTACCAAAAGCCAATAATCTCCAGTCTTCTGTTTGGACTGAATTAAGGGTCATCAATTAAGGGTCAAAGCAATTAAGGGTCAAAATATGTCTCCAGCCTGTGTTTAGGAGGTAATTGTTGTGATAATGAAAGGAGTGATAAAAGCAACAAATGTGTTGAACGATTACACTGAATGCCTCAGTGTCTTGGTCTAGTCTCATTTAGTCCTCACAATTACCCTGAGAAGTAAGTACTATTATTATCCCCATTTGTTGGATGAGGGAACCCTATGTGACAAGTAATTTGTGTATAGTCACAAAGCTAGTAAATGGTTCTATCCATTGGGATAGGCTAGGTTTTGCTGCTATAACAAATGACTTCCAAATCTCAATGGCTTACAGCATCAAAGGTGTATTTCCTATTCACACTAGATGTTCATTGCAAATTGGCTGTGGCTTTAATTCACATTGTCCTGTTTATGGCTCCCAGGTTGATAGAGTGACCCTCATCTAGATTACTGCAGAGGGAAAGGGGACATATTAGGTTCCTGCACTGACTTTTAAAGACTCTGCTGGAAGTGACACACATCATCTCCACCTACATTTTATTGGCTAAAACTGATCATATGACCTCTCAGTGTGACAGGGCAGAGATGAATAATACTTTCCCATAGACAGGGATAACTAACTGAATATTTGGTGATACAGTCTGCCATACCAAGAACTAGTTGAGAACCTGCATAGGTAGGATTCAAGCTGACACAGGATCTGAATCCTAATGGTATAATCCTCAGGGTCAGGCGCAGTGGTTTATGCCTGTAATCCCAATACTTTGGGAGGTCGAGGCAAGAGGATTGCTTGAGCCCAGGAGTTTGAGACTAGCCTAGGCAATGTAGTGAGACCTCATCTCTACAAAAAGTCAAAAAATTAGCCAGGCATGGTGGCATGCATCTGTAGTTCCAGCTTGTTGGGAGGCTGAGGCTGAAGGATTGCCTGAGCCCATGAGGTCAAAGCTGCAGTGAGTCGTGATTGTGCCACTGCATTCCAGCCTGAGTGACAGAGTGAGACCAACTCCTGACTCAACAAACAAACAAACAAAATCCCCAATCCTTGATTGCCATCATGCCTTACACTTTGCTAATAGTATAATGTCCATGGTTCAACCTTATCCTACTCTGCTGATGGCATGAGTTTTGATCATGGAAAACCAGAACCCAGGGTATACACAGAAATTTTTATCATTAATTTCTGCTTCTGTGTAATGCAACAACTGAGAAGTGTGGTGCTTTACCCTCAAGAGATGCTTACGAAAGAAGTTTGTATGACTCACAAGGAGTGAGATAGGAAGGAAACAGGAACTAGTTGAGCACGTGCATTTTTCTGCTCACAGAGATGCAGCCCCCAAAGCACCGGCACATCATCTGTTCTTGATAAAACTTTATTGACTGAATGAATGAAGAAGAAATGTATCTTATCCTTACAAACCAACAACCTTATGAAGTAGTTGTTATTATCTCCATTTGAATAAAACTGCTTTTCGGGATAAGATAAACCCTGTGAAGTACAAAGCCCAGAAGCTGAGATATAGGAAGCCCTCAGTAAATATTAACCATTTTTTCTGCTTGTATTATCACCATTCTTTGCTATCAGTCTGCATTGAGTTGCTGTCCAAACTCCAAATTCAGTTCAGAGTTCCCGTGTCATGGCCTCTCTGTCCCACCCGCAGCAGCGCTGCTGAGGCTGGGCAGGAAAGTTGGCTGTGTGACTCCAGAGCACTCATGGTGGCCTTTCTCAGGGTTCCCTTGGCCCCATTTCACTTTATATGCTGCTTTTTGCAGATTTTCTAGCATTTACATTTCAAGTCTGAACGAGTCTAGCTATTGCTCCAAACCAAGATTTCCCATGCAGACATTTCTCTAACCCACATTCAGAATGATGATTCTTCAGGAAATTGGTTTCCAAATGTTCCAGAGAGGGAAATTGGATCAAATGACAGAATGGGGGAAAAGGGAGGGAAGGAGGGAGGTGATGGAGTCTGTGATTCTATTTTGTACTTGTTCTGGGCCATCTGTTTAAAGATATTTTTTGTGCTTCTCTTGCTATTATTATTGTTATTTTTTGTCTTTTTATTATTCAAATTGCCACCCTGTTAGGATGGATCCACTGGGTAAGTAGTGCATCCCATACACTGAGATTTCCTGGCTAGGTTTCTGAATGTTTTCAGCTTTCTAAAATTATCAATGGGGCCAGGCGCGGTGGCTCACGCCAATAATCCTAGCATTTTGGGAGTCCAAGGTATTTGGGAGAATCACTCGAGCCTAGGAGTTTGAGACCAGCCTTGGCAGCATAATGAGACTCCCATCTCTATAAAAAAATAAGAAAATTAGCCAGTGTGGTGGTGCACGCCTATAGTCCCAGCTACTCAGGAGGCTGAGATGGAAGGATCACCTGAACCCAGGAGGTCAAGGCTGCAATGAGCCATGATTATTTCAATTCAGCCTAGGTGACAGAGTGAGACTCTGTCTCAAAAAAAAAAAGAGTGAAAAAAGGTAAATAAATAAAACCATCAATGGGCCCAGGGTGACTTCGATACCTTACTCTGCCTGACATAGTACCTACCCAGCTTTGGCCCCAGTTTGGGAGTTGGCGTGGCAGGGATGTCTCCAGGGATTCTGGGCACAACTGGCTCTAAAAACCAGGCTTTTCTCCCCCAGAACGGCTGAGGCATCTCGGAAGAAGAAAGAAAACCGGAGGAAGTGGAAGCGTTATCTCCTGATAGGCCTGGCGACTGTCGGAGGCGGAACAGTGATCGGTAAGGCCAGCTGGAGATAGTGGCACACGGGCAGGGGCCACACAGAGTGAGAGGTGATGTCCAGCTGGGGGTGAGAGTGGAGAGTGCAGGGGGGTTGTCTGGGTGGGTGCTCAGTCAGTGGTCAGTGTGCTCATCTGTGTTGTTTAGAAGCTTCCATGGGAGGCAGTAGACAGCTGATGGGGTATGAACCCCTCAAGCCACATTCTGACTCCCTCCTGTACCTGCTACTTTCCCTGCAGGTGTGACCGGGGGTCTAGCTGCCCCCCTTGTTGCCGCTGGAGCTGCAACAATCATTGGCAGCGCCGGGGCAGCAGCCCTGGGCTCCGTGGCTGGCATAGCTGTCATGACCTCACTGTTCGGGGCAGCTGGAGCCGGCCTCACAGGTAAGGTTCAAAAGGAATGGTGGGGGAAAAAAAGGAATGGTGGGTTCAGTGAGATTTTTAGCTGGGGTGGCCCAGTTCCTAAAAGACATACCCAGATTCTCACCAGTGATGGCTCCTGGGAGACAGGAGAGACAGGCTCTTCTCACTCTGGTCCCAGCCCTGTCAGAGCCTGCAGCAGGCTTCACAGAGAACTGGACCAGTAGCTTGGTATGGATCAGGGTAGGTGCCAAGTTTGGGAAGCTGGCTTTTTCCTCATGCACCTTGTATATGCTTCCTAAGACAGACCCTGTTTGGACCTGCTCCACTATCCAGAAGTTTCCAGGCAAGCAGGGCTTCCTCACGTTTGGGGACAACATGACTGACCTTCATTTACCAGCCTCAGCTGTGGAGTTTTTCCACATCACATGTATCAGCAGCCCCCAGTCACACACATGGAATCCTGTTCAGCTCCCCAGGTGGAGTGTCGCCCCTGCTGAGGATCTTGGTCCATTTGATTCACTCTTACTAAGAGGAGTGTTTGGGCAGAAAAAAAGATACAGAACCAACCAAGTAAGGACGGATCTGTGGTTAAGAGCCTGGGCTCTGAGTTCAAACCCAGCACTGCCCCTCGGGAGCTGGCCAGCCTCGGGCAGCCTCTTAGCTTCTTCTGTAATTAGAGGCAATAGTGGCATCTACTTTTTTTGTTTGTTTGTTTGTTTTTGAGTTAGAGTCTCACTCCGTCGCCCAGACTGGAATGCAGTGGCACGCTCCCGGCCACCGCAGCCTCGACCTGGTGGGCTCCGCGATCCTTCCGCCTCAGCCTTCCAAGTAGCAGAAACTACAGTTGTGGGCTACCACGCCCGGCTAATTTTTGATATATTGTAGAGATGAGGTCTCACCAAGTTGCCTGGGTGGGTCTCGAACCCGCAGCCTCAGGCAATCCACTCACCTCAGCCTCCCAAAGTGCTGGGATTACAGGCTGAGCTACCGAGCCCGGCCAATGGCACCTACTTTAATGAGTTCAACCACAAAATGCATTTGTCTAGGGGTAGGGCACACAGTCGGTACTCACTGTGTGAGCATGTGAGGACAGACAGCCATTCTAATGTTCCCCGGGGCCCCAGTCACCACCATTCTCATTCTCATATCTGTGTCTTTAGGATACAAGATGAAGAAGCGTGTCGGGGCCATTGAGGAATTCACGTTCCTGCCTCTGACAGAGGGCAGACAGCTGCATATCACCATTGCCATCACTGGATGGCTTGCGTCTGGCAAATACCGTGAGGACCAGGAGGGGGCATTGGCTAGGCTAGACCTTATACTGTGGGCCAGACCATGGGCTAGGTTCTTGACTGCATGTGTCTCTAGGAAGTGGGTATGGGAGCTCCATTTTGCAGAGGAGAAACTGAGGTTCAGAGAGGTGAGGTGACTTCATCTCACATTCATCTACCTGCCCATCATCCATCGTCTATCTACTGCCCCACCCACCCATCCATACATCTGTCTTCCTATCCACCCACCCACATTCATCTACCCACCCATCCAGCCAGCCAGCTAGCCATCTATCCATCTAGCCATCCATCCACACATTTATCTATCCACCTGTTCATCTATCTACCCACCTATCCATACATCCATCTACCTTGCACCCACCCATTTATCCATTCATTTATCATCCATTTATCTACCCACCCATCCATTCATCCACCCATTCAACTATCTGCCCATTCATCCACCCATCCATCCACCCATCCATCCACACATCCATCCACACATCCATCCATCCATCCATCCATCCATCTACCCATCCACCCATCCACCCATCCACCTACCAGGTGCCACTCATTATCCATCCATCCACCCATGTATCCATCTATCCAGCCAGCAGTATTTATAGAGTATTGCACTTACTATGTGCTACACACCAATTCAGGACCTAGGGATTCAGTAGTGAGCAGCACAGTCATGGCCTCTGCTCCCATGGAACATGCAGCTTGAGACAGAAGACGGACCAAGTAATTGAAAGGAATGCTTTATGGATGGCACAACAGGGGAAGCACAGGGTATTTCTGGGGAAGGTTGCTGGAGAAAATGGCATTTACTTATTTATTTACTTACTTACTTATTTAGAGTTGAGGTCTCACTCTGCAGCCCAAGCTGGAGTGCAGTGGCATGATCACAGTTCACCACAACCTTGACCTTCTGGGCTCAGGTGATCCTCCCTCCTCAGCCTCCTGAGTAGCTAGGACTACAGGTGTGTGCCACCATGCCCGGCTAATTTTTAATTTTTTTGTGGAGAGGCAGTTCCACTATGTTGTCTAGGCTTGTCTTAAACTCCTGGGATTACAGGTATGAGCCACTGCATCTGGACAGTAATGACATTTAGACTAAGGGCTGAAGGTGAGATAGCTGGGTAAAGAAGGAGCAAAAAGTATATATCAAGCAAAGGAGCAACATGTGCAAAGGCCCCATGGTCTGAAAGAGCCAAAAAGAGTACAGAATGGCTGCAGCAGAGAGCCTGAAGGCATCAGTGTGGGCAGGGCCAGACAATGCAGGAGCATTTGAGCTGTGACAAGGAGTTTGAATTTTTCTTCAGAGCAGGTAGAAGACAGCAAAGGACTGTAAGCACATGAGTGAGAGATCAGTAATGTCTTGGCCATGACCTCAGCAAGTTACTTGGCTTCTCTATGCCTTGGTTCCTGCATTTGTAAAATGGAGCACATTATTCTTACCTTTTCAGGTTGCTGCAGAGATTAAAGTAAACTAGGTAACATGTGGTAGGCACCTGATATCTAGTTGACATTCCACAGACAGTAGTTTTTTGTTTTGGTTTGGTTTTTTTGGTACCCTAATTTTAACCTGCATGTTTCAGGAGATTCTAGCCAGGGTAGCATTGAGGACTCACACCATGGTCCACTGGCTGACTGGCTCACCTCTGTAAGTGCCCAGCAAGAGGCTCAGCAGTGCATTTCTCAGAGAGAGCAGGGTGGGCCTGGGAGTCCCAGATGTCCCAGCCTGACCACTCAGGCACACATGCTGAAAGCCTCCTGGGTCCCCAAGTCTCTGAGACCTGAGAATGGAAGACACAGCCCTTCTAAACCACACAGAGGAAAGCCAGTGAGAAGACATTGAGAAATGTTACCAGGTGCCAGGGTCCTATTGGTGTGTGACCACCAGGCCCTAGCCCCACACAGAGGGTCTCTAATGTTAACTAAGCACCATGTGCCTGCTCGGAGTCCAGCACTTTACCTGCACAGTGGGAACTTGGAATGCATTACCCGTCCACCCTCAAGGTGGAGCTGTTCTCATCCTGATCTGTCGGAAGAGCAAATCTAGAGAAGGTCATGTGGCAGGGGAGTAGCAGATGCGAGATTCAAACCCAGGTCTCCTGACCCACCGTTCAGGGTTTCTTTTCATCCGTTTTTCTTATACCATGCCACAGGAAGAGAGGAGCAAGAGCAAGAGAGTAGGGAAAGGAATTTACTATTCCAGCCAGTATGGAAAGCAAATCCTTTGTCTTACCACCATTTACTCAGTTAGTCCCAGCTCAAAGGTCAAGTTCATTCTGGGAGAAGAAAATAGTCTTTATTGTCCTCCAGCAGTCTAGTGCAATGTGGTACAAAGGCAGAGGGGTATTTAAAAGAAACATAACCAAGCTTGAGAATGTTCCAGAAGGAAAAAAATAGTAGCCTGTTCCTGCCTCTTTAATAGCCAGGAAACAAGCCTTGTTGTCATCACAGACTTGCTTTTATGTGTGATAGGAGTAACTGGACTTTCTTTGGCCCACTCCTTTATTAACCAGGATTATATACAATAAAGATAATAGCTTTGTGGCTAACGACTTGCTGTGAGCCAAGCATTTTGTAGGTATCAGCTCAGTTAGTTCCTTACTTCAGTTCAAGGGGATAGGCATCACTAGCACTCCCATTTTACAGATGAGGAAACTGAGACTCATAAGGGATGTGCAGGGTCACCCAGCTAGATTCACCCCTACTCTATCTGGCTTCACAGCCCATATTCTTGTCCATAGGACAACACAATCCAGTAGAGCACTTTACAATTTATATGACAGTTTTTATGCAGCATCTCATGTGATCCCACCACACCCGTGAGTCTGATGTCATCATCCCTTTCTTACAGATGTAGAAATTGAGGGTCAGCAGGGCATCGTGTTTTGCTGCAAGTCACACCAGCGGCAGCTGCTGACCTGGGTCCAGAGCCCAGGCCAGCGTCCCATCAAGCCCATGCTCCCCTGTGTTCTGCACCTGCCACTTCTCTTGGGGCTGGCAGTCACCATTCCACAGTTAGAGAGAGCTGATTCCTGAGTTGTGGCAGAACCGAGACAGGGACCCTGCAGAGGGAGAGGAACAGCTGCAGGGTGGTCTTGGTGTTGACGTACCCCCTGCAGGTAAGGATGAGGCCTTTGAGGCAGGCAGGTAGAGGCGTGTGGTTGATGTTCAGAACCTGATGTCTCTGGGAAGCTGATTCCATCCATCCATTCATGCTTCATGTTCTTAGGGGTGCTTATTGTGCATCACATCACCAGGCCTTGGGAATAGGGTGCATAGCAAATCAGACTGTAGGAGAGGCACACGTAAAACAGAGGATGCAGAAATGCATAATTATAGACTGTCATGAAAACTTACGGCAAAAAAGTAGAAGGTATATTTTGCATTTGATCTATCTGTGGGGCCAGGAAGACCTCCCCATGGAAGAGGCAATTGAGCTAGAATCTCAAGGACAAGTAAGGATGATGTAGGGCGCCGAGTCCCCCACCTTTTTGGCATCAGGGGCTGGTTTTGAGGAAGATAATTTTTTCATAGGTGGAGGGGATGTGCTAATGTTAATCTGTATTTGCTACTGCAAATGTTAATCTGTATCTGTATTTGCAGCCACTCCCCAGCACTAGCATTACCGCCTCAGCTCCACCTCAGATCATCAGATGCTAGATTCTCATAAGGGACAGCACATGCACAGTTCACAGTAGGGTTCGAGCTCCTATTAGAATCTAATGCTGATAATGATCTGAAAGGAGGTGGAGCTCAGGCCATAATGCGAGCAGTAGGGAGCAGCTGTAAATACAAATGAAGCTTTGCTCACGCCCACCACTCACCTCCTATTATATGGCCTGATTCCTAACAGGCCAGCATGGGTACTGGTCCACAGCCTGGAGTTGGGGACCCCTGATGTAGGGAAACTGATGTAAGAGCCAGGAGATATTGCAGGATTTTAGACTGGAGTGGGTGGAGATCTATGTTTTGAAAAGGTCACTGGGGCCACCAGGCAGAAATGGATGGGGATAGATTAGGTTCCCCCGTGCTCCTATCCTGAAGGCAGCTGGGCAGGAGGAGGAAGAGGGAGGCAGGCCATCATGTCTATACTTTCCTACTTGACACTGGCCTCTGTGGTGGTACAGTGTCATCGTCCTTCCATGGGGTCATTTAATATTTACATTTTCTAAGTGAGAAAACTGAGTGACCAGTGAGATCGTGGCAGAGCTGGCTTCAAGTACCTCTTCCCCCAAGTTTTAGCTATTTCCCAGTCCGTGTTGAATCAGGATGTAACTGACTCACAGAGCTACGCTTCTTGTCCCTGTTATATGTTGTCAGCAGCTAAATGCCAGAATTACTTCAGGGTGAGAGGAAATAATATTTTACATACCCATCATAGTCCAAATACTAAATTCTTACATCTATCCTATGAAGGGAGACAAGTATTAATCTCCCCACTTCACCAATAAGCAAAGTGAGGCTCAAGGTGGAATATGGATGTGCCCAAGGTCACCCAGCTTTTAATGAACATAGGAGTTGAGATTCAAACCCCAGCCTGCCAATCCACAGGGCAACACAGTAGTCCATCTGTGCTAACAGCTGCCACTCATTGGCAGGGGGTGGGCCTTTTGCCTTAGACACAAGGATGAGTGGCCCCCTGTTGCTGCCTCTCTGAGAGAGTAGGGTGGGACAGCTTCTGCCATGGATGGAGAGGCCCCACCGACCTGTGTTCTCCCCAGGCACCTTCAGCGCCCCGTGGGCTGCCCTGGCCCGCAGCCGTGAGCAGTACTGCCTGGCCTGGGAGGCCAAGTACCTGATGGAACTCGGCAATGCCCTGGAGACCATCCTCAGCGGTCTTGCCAACATGGTGGCCCAGGAGGCCCTTAAGTACACAGTGTTGTCTGGTAAGCTTGGCACCTCTACCACTAACAGCCTGCCACCCCCATCCCACAGTGGTACCCTATCTTTGCATGCCCGAGGCCCCAGGGAGCCAGGCACTATGCAGGATGCTGGGAGCACAGAGAGGTTAAGGCATATTCCTGTCTGTGAGAAGTTGACGGTCTTTATGGAGTGAAGATAAATAAACAGCCAATCACATGATATATCAGTTAGCTATTGCCACATAACAAGCCACCCCAAAACTCAGTGACTTAAAGTTACACTAGTTTATTGTGATAGCTCAGGAGTCATGAGGCCAAAGTTGGCTGATCTTAGCTGCTCACGCATCTGTTGGTCGGATGATTATCCACTGATTGAGGCTAGTGTTGTCTGGGCAACTTCACTCTGCTTCATTTGTCTCTCATCCTCCTTCTGTGACCAGCAGGCTAGCCTGTACCAGTGATAGAAGTGTAGGAGGCTAGCCCCCAGGCACAAGTCCATTCCAAGCCTCACATCTACTAACAACTCATTGACCAAAACAAGTCACATGTCTGAGTCAAGAGGGGAGGGGCAGGGCAGGGAGCATTGCAGGGTTATAAGGCTAAGTGGGAGGATACAGGGCGAGGTGACAAATGGGGGCCATCTTGGGAATCTCACATATGACAAGGGCTTGGGTAGAATTGATTTAGCTCATATATTAGAAATATATGAGTTTTTCATTTCTTTGCTCTTTAGCAGTTTGACACTTGGCAAGCTTGCAGGTTCCAAGTTCAAGAGACTGCATGCATTCACTTGAGCATCTGTTAGCCAGCCCTTCCCTAGAAGGAACCCCCCCATTCCCTTCATCACTGATATCCCACCTCCCCAGGCATTGTGGCTGCCCTGACCTGGCCAGCGTCACTCCTCGCTGTCGCCAATGTCATCGACAACCCCTGGGGGGTGTGTCTCCATCGATCAGCAGAGGTTGGCAAGCACCTGGCTCACATCCTACTCTCCCGGCAGCAGGTACCTGGGAATGGCTGTAGGGGTGGCGGGGATAAAAGGGAATGTCAGGAAACTGCCTTGTGCACAGACATCAGCCTTAGAGGCTAGGCCACTTGGGGGATGGGTGTTCTTCGCTACCCATCCAGTTCAAGAGACGAAAGTGTGCTAGGATGGACAATAAATATGATAGACTGTGCATCTCTAGCAGGTAATTAGGTAAGGACTGAATAACAGGAGCATCCACAGGTAGGAACAAGGCTGGGGGAACTGGCAGAGCATAAGTAGCTCCTAATGAACAGTTTAGTGGTAATGATTGGGTGCATTCAGGTGACATGTCAATGGAAACCTCAGACTCCATTTGCAGTTAAGTCAGTAGAGTAAATGAGACCACATGCCTCAACTGGCCAGAGATAGTGGCCCAGTGTTCCTTCCTAGGAGTCTAAAGCTACTGTATGAAGGCATCTTTGGTTGTCTCAATACTGTATAAAATGGTTAGGAAGATAAATCATAATACTTTTTTTATTTTTATTTTTTGAGTTGGAGTCTCACTCCATCACCCAGACTGGAGTGCAGTGGCACACTCACGGCCACCAAAACCTTGACCCGCTGTGCTCAGGTGATCCTTCTGCCTCTGCCTTCCAAGTGGCTGGAACTATAGGCGGGCACCACCACACCCGGCTAATTTTTTTGATTTACTGTAGAGACGAGGTCTCAACAAGTTGCCCGGGCTGGTCTCGAACCCTTGAACTCAGGCAATCCTCTGGCCTCAGCCTCCCAAAGTGCTGGGATTACAGGCCACTGGGCTCAACCTCTTTATAATACTTTTAAAATTCTAAGCCAACTGGGCGTGGTGGCTCACGCCTGTCATCCTAGCACTTTGAGAGGCCCAGACTTTTGCCTCCCTCTAGCTCCTTGGCCAAGACTCAGCCCTGTGGCCACCTCCAGCTACAGAGAAGTTAGGGAAACAGTTTTTGGCTGGGTGGCTGTCTGCCTAAACTCAGGTCTTCCATTATTAACAAAGGGAGAATGGATACTAGTAGATGGCCAGCAGGTGTCGCCACAAAGCTCCTGCAGGATTCAAATACTGTTTAAAGTAGAATTCCCACGTTGCAGTAAATGGAGTGGGGGCAGGGTGTGGAATACCAGTATCAGCACAAAAATCAAGAAGAAGGATAGATGATAAAACCAGCCTGGGCCTCCGGAGCTTCTCTGCTCCCCTCCTCTCCTTCCATGTAAAATTTGTGCCCAGAATACCCCAGATAACTTTCTTTTTCTTAGAACCTCCACTCATGTAATAACAAGTTGCCTTTTCTACAAGTTCTTGAGTCAGAAAATTCCTCTACCATATCTTGTTTTGTGCTCCACTTTCCTGTCTAGAAGCAGAACAGCTGTCCCCCCATGTCTCTCTTGACCTTTTGACCCATCACACCTGGGGGTGCCTTCTGCCTAATCCCCCAGCTCCAAAAGGGGGTCCCACGTCACTGCAGTTATTTGCCACGAGGCAGAAGAGGCCAAGGGAAGTTGCTCTTGTAATGGGCTAGTCCTACCTCTTGGGGAAGAACAAACAGCGGCTAGGTAATTGTTTCAGATAAAAGGAAATTAACCCAGACAGAGCCTGCCTGTTGGCCTTGGAGGAAGCCAGTTCCGGCGGCAGGTGCACTCCTGCAGAAATGAGGGCCCTGACTCTCCCAATGAAGACATCAGAACTCAGGGCCGGAACAGCACATGCATGATTCATTATGTGAGTGGCAGGCACTAAGACATGTGCAAAGGCCGCCCTTGTCAGGGCTGATGTTTTGCTGGAACTGACGTATGTCCTCCAGACACCTGTGTCTTTTTCCCTCCAGGGCCAGCGACCTGTCTCCTTGATTGGCTTCAGCCTGGGAGCCAGAGTCATCTACTTCTGTCTGCAAGAGATGGCACAGGAGAAAGGTGAGTTCGGATTATTGTCACAGATGAAAACCCTTCCCAAGTGTGTTCCCCAGGACAGAGGTTCTGGGCAGGGGTCATGAATCTTGCAAAATATGTCCCCAGTTTTAGAAATAATAGTTTAAAAGTTTAAAGTAGTTTAAAATAATCTGGGGCCAGTCTTGATGGCTCATATCTGTAATCCCAGTGCTTTGGGAGACCAAGGTGGGAGGATCACTTGAGGCTAAGAGTTCAAGACCAGCCTGGGCAACATAGTGAGACCTGTCTCTACAAAAATTAAAATTAAAAAAATTAGCCAGGCATGTAGTCCTACTTACTTGGGAGGCTGAGGCAGGAAGATTGCTTGAGCCCAGGAGTTCGAGGTTACAGTGAGCTGTGATGGCACTACTGTACTCCAGCCTGGGCAAAAGAGCAAAACCCTGTCTCTAAAATATAAATATAAATTTAAATTTAAAAAATAAGCCAGGCATGATGGCGCATGCTTTTAGTCCCAACTACTGGAGAGGCTGAGGCAGGATCATTGTTTGAAGCCTGGAGTTTGAGGTTACAGTGATCTATGTTCATGCCTGTAAATAGCCACTGCACTCCAGCCTGGGCAACACAGCAAGACTCCATCTCTAAAAAGAAAAAAGTTTAAAAATAGAGAAAAATAAACTGTTAGGAAAATGATTGGGGGATATGTAAATTAGAGTGTATACAAGACTGACAGTCCTGTAATAATGACACTTGCTTTTGCGTCCTAATGCACACTCTCAAGTGGTGGGGAGGACAATAAATCTGCAGTGCAATTGATCTAAGAAGGGTGGCAGCTACCCAGGGCTCACTTTCCTTGGGATAGGTCCTTGAGCCAAGCAAACCACACAGGCACATCTAAGACCTCTGCTTATCCCACGTTCGCTAACATTCTGTCTTCATTATTTGTTGCTGCAAAACCACCTCTTCAAACACAATGGCTTCAAACAGCAATAATGGATTCATTCTCCCAGTTCTGTGGGTTGACTAGGCAGTTCTCCTTTCTCGCCTGGGCTCACTGGTGCAGTTGTAGTCAGAGCTGGACTTCCCGGAGAGCCCAGGTTGACCTCAGTCAAGTCTGTGTCCATTGGTGCTAGCTGTCATCCAGTGCAGACTCCTCCCTGCCCTCTTGCTGGTCCTCCCAGGGAGGCCTCTGAAAAGGTACCATCCTCTGTGCTGTCTTTTGCTTCTTTCCTGGTCATCTTTCCCTCAACCCTGGCAGCAAACCATTTGCCAGCTCATTCCCTGGAGTGATGTGGTTTTATTAATAGAACTGATTCTTCACGTAGAGGAGAAGGCATGTTTCTGCCTCCAGTTAGCATAAATTCTGTGGTTAACTTCAGATTATTGATGCAAGTTAAGCCTTCAATTCCCCTGCTGAACAAATTGAATTAATTTCCATTAGCCATTTGGCCATGGTAACTGGAAGTAGATCAGTGATTAAATGCCTCCAAAATGTGAGGCTGCAAACTGACCAGAGGGAAGAGGGAGGCAGGTGGCCTCCTGGTGGTAGGGCTGGTTAGTGTGACACTGGCATACGTCTGTATCACAGCCTTTTGGGGGTGGTTCCCAAAGCAGCATCTCTCCAGTAACATTCCTGGTCACTGCTCCCACCCCTATATCTACATGGCCTATCAGTAAGAATTGGGGTTTGTGTCGGGTAAGAATTGGGGTTTGTGTCCAGGCGCGGTGGTTCAGCCTGTAATCTCAGCACTTTGGGAGGCCGAGGCAAGAAGATTGCCTGAGCCCGGGGGTTTGAGACCAGCCTGGGCAACTTGGTGAGACCTCGTCTCTACAATAAATCACAAAAACTAATTGGACGCATGGTGCCGTGTGTCTGAAGTTCCAGCTACTTGGAAGGCTGAGGCGGAAAGGATCACCTAAGCCCAGCAGGTCAAGGCTGCAGTGGCCATGAGTGTGCCACTGCACTCCAGCATGGGCGACAAAGAGTGTGACTCCAACTCAAGAAAAAAAAAAAGAATTGGGGTTTGCTTAGGCAGACCTAGATTTGGCTCCCAGCTTTGCCACTGACTAGCTATGGGACCTTGGGCTAATCGCTTAACCTCTCTGAGTCTCAGCTTCCTCAAATGAATATGGTGCTTTGTACACTTGCCTCAAAGGATCAGCAGGGGGTCAAAATGAGATAAATATGAAAGTCTCTGCCCCCACTTTGAGCACACTCCATAAATATGTCTTTCTCTAAACTCCAATCCGAAGATCTACTGTGTGCAGGGAGCTATGGTGAGTGCTGTATAGATGTAGGAGCTTGTCATTTTGTATCTACTCTCCAGCCTCAGAGGATTGGCCAGCATGGGTGAAGACAGAGCTCTTGGGTGTGTCTGGAAATGACCATGTCTGGTGTTTCCTATGTAAGAGACCCTCCAGGTGGTCCCCAGTACTGACGGGTACCCTGAACTCCAGGTAGGCAAGGTCAACCTTGAGCCCCACCATCCCCCTGGTGCCCAGCATGATGCCCAGCACACTTTGAGTGCCCAGGAAGACAGAGGAGCCTGACTTTGGGCAAGAAACTCAAGCACACGCTGATGCACTCATGAGCCAGATGCAGATCTGCCAGGCTGTCTGAGCACTGAGTATTGAGTATTATCTCATTCCTTCCTCACGGCAACCCAGGAGAGAGGTGCTACTGTTCTCTCTGCTTCACAGATGAGAAAACTGAGGCCAAGAGGCTGAGCCACAAGAATCTAAGTACAGGAGCCAGGATTTGATCCCAAGGAGTCTGGGTCTGGAACCTTCACTGCTAGCCACTGTGCTGTACCCTGCAGAGGTTCCAAACCCTGAGCGACCGGCCGCTGGAGGGAAGGGGATTCCAGAGGATTGGCCAGCACAGGCGAAGGCAGGGCTCTTGGGTGTGTCTGGAAATGGCCATGTCTGGTGTTTCCTAAGTAAGAGTCTCTCCAGGTGGGCGGGTACTGTGCATGTCCCCAGTACTGATGGGTTAGGGTGGGAGCCTGGTTCCATGCCAACCTCAGGAGTTGGAACCCAGCCTCTCTCCATCCTCCCTCTCTATTCTCCAAGCCACAGAGCACAGCACTGTCTCCCTGTTACTCTTGTTTGTTTACTGTCTCTTCCAGCCCATGTGTAACTTACCTAGGAGTACACAACCCAACCACCTGGGCAATTATTTTCCATATATATATGTCAGGGCCCTACATGGAAAGGGCCAGGCACTCCTATTTTGGAGATAGCCCTCCTGGGTAATTCTGGTGTATAGCCCTGGCCAGGAGCCACAGCACAGACAGAGTGAGGGCAGGCGGGGCCCTGCTTCTTCCCAAGCCTTTCCCAGTGCCTGGCACATACTAGGTGCTCTGTGGTCGTGTGTCCCATTACTGAGGAAGAGGCTGAGGTCTCTAAACCATGCAGTGGTGAATCGCTGAGTGGATCCTGCCAAGGAGAAGCTGGAGAGGTCAACGCTAGGCAGCCTGTAGTTCACCTCCATATACACACATGCACATTCACATGCACATGTACGTACACACACACGTGCGCACACTCACACACCCACAACAACAACTCAGCAGACCCCAAAGGCCCCCAGTGCCCCTGCCATTCTCTAGATCTAATGCAGGCATCTCAGTGTGACTCACAGGGCCCCTCCCACTCATAATCTGCCTTCCAGCATCTTCTCCCACCTCTCTCCACTTCACACACTGGGATCCAGTGGACCAGGCTGTTTCCAGACAGACTGGGTTCTCTGTTGGTCCTCTTCCATCTCCTTTTCTGGATAACTCCTACTCTCTTTCAGGCCTCCTGTGTCTGGAAGCTTTCCCTCTGATAATAATGATAATAACAATAGTAGTAGTGGTAGTAACTGCAGCCGAACACTCTGGGTTTTCACGTGCGGGCACAGTTCTAAGCTTATCACCTGAATTATTATATCTCATGTAATCCTTGCAACAACTCTGTGTAATAGATACTATTATCACGCCCATTTTACAGAGGAGGAAACCAAACTGCAGAGCTTAGGCAATTTGCCAAATCACACAGCTGGCAGGTGGACGATCAGGCAGTCTGGCTGGAACCTGTGTGACTCTCAGCCCCACACTAGACTCTCCCAGCCACTCTCCATCCTCCAAACCACAGAGCGCTGCGCTGTCTCCCTGTTATTC